AGGAAGGAAGGAAGGAAGGAAGGAAGGAAGGAAGGAAGGAAGGAAGATTATAATGAGAGGGAGCGAGGATCTCAGGGAAGTCCTGTCTTAGCACTTGGCTACCACAGGTGCTCCCAACATCATAGACATGCTCAACCTGGCCATGCCTACTCAGCCCTCAGAGGTCAAACACAGCCCTGATGTGGCCCTCAATAAAATCGAATCTGACACCCCTGGTCTAGGACTACTTATACGAATGCCTGCACATAACCTTGCTATGTACGAGAATGTTACTACTCCCATCCATCCTCTCAAGTCAGTTGTGGGAGGACGTCTTCACATTCTTCCTATGAATTATACGACTTCAATCACCAAACCCTACACAAAACCATTCACTGGAATCACTTTTCAAATTTTGTCTGCACCCACAAATGATAACAATGTTCTTGCTACAATTTCCACTTACAGCCTAAGGCCTTTGTCAATTGCCAATTTCAAGCCACCACCAGGACCTCAGCTAAACTACCCTTTGCGTGCGGGGGGGGGGGGGGGGGGGAATCCTCTTTCTGGAACACTGCAGGTCTATTAGTTGTCTGAGATATACCAATCTAATAGCTCCCACCTCCCTATGGTAGGATAATATCAATATGAATTCTAAAGAACCAGACAGTGAGATGATGATATCTTCCATATGCAGATCAGCAGTGGTGGGATTCAAATTTTTAACAACCAGTTCTGTGGGTGTGGCTTAGGTGGTGGGTGTGGCTTGGTGGTCATGTGACTGGGTGGAGATGGCTTGGTGGTCATGTTATTGTCTGGGTGTGGCCAACTCAATATCACTCACATCGAGGCATGCATCTCCTCGCCTGGCCTCTCATGACTGTGGGGATGCTGCAACAGTCGTAAGTGTGAAAAATGTCACTTTTTCAGTGCCACTGTAACTTTGAATGGTCACTCCACACAAGCAAAGTTACCAGCAAAGGAGAAAAAAAAACTCTAGAGAAGTTCCTGAGACAGGAAGTCTAGTCCTGCCAAAAATTTAATAAGGGTTAATGGAGAGACAAGATTCTATAAGCAACACCAGTATGTTTCCTTCCTGCCAGTCATTTATTCTAACAACCGGTTCTCCAAACTGCTTAGAATGTTAACAACCGGTTCTAGCGAATAGGTGCGAACTGGTAGAATCCCACCCCTGAGATCATGTTGCAGCTCCAAGATAAATGCCACAACTAGTGTGCAATCCCCAATAAGTTGAGCTTTCCATTATTTGAGTCAGATCCTTAGCCACCATGGTGCATGTGAACTCCTGAGTTGCCTATGATTCAATGTCACCCAGGGGATATTAAAATCCCAAGGGCTAAGAAACCCCTGGGGATTCCACCACCAACCTAGCAACAGAATCTAGCAACTCAGGCAAGAATATTGCTGCAAAGCAGAGAGGCCAATATAGCAATAACAAACCCAATTGCTTCCTAAAATCATCTTCAACCAGAGACTCCTCCAACTAGCTGCAGATCAGAACGTATGAAAGACATCAAGCTTCCCGGAAAACAACTACCACATCTTCCCGTAACTGTGATAACTGATGCCAGACTCCAAATCCAGATGGGCGTATCTCTAAGAGGGGGATACCCATGCTGTATGCTCACCCAGGTCTCAGTTATACGTGCCAAGTCAGCTGCCTCATCCATAATTAAGTCATGGATGAAGAAGGTCTTTACATACCAGTCTGGAATTCAGAAGCAGCTGCTGGAGTCCAGGGCAACCAAGGATCCAATGACCTGCCTTCCAGGATGTATGTTGAGGTCTGGAAACACTGGTCCTGTTGCCCCTTCGACTAATCTATCCTCAGCCTCCCACCATATTGCCCTCCTTGGTCACAACAACGATGGAACTACTTTCCCACTTCCTTTCCCAGTTTTTTTCTGCCCATCTCAATGCCCACCTAGAACTGGGCAACACACTTCATATTCAAATCTAATGCCCCTCAGCACCAATATCCACAAACTGTCTCTTCCTCTAGTATTCAGCAATCTGGGGGAAGGCCTACTGAAGTGGGTCACCAGCACCTGCTCATCACACTTCACCAAAATCCCATCTATCCCTATCCCCAGTCACCTAGCAAAATCAGGCCAAAAAGACTATAGTTGAACCTGGGCTACTGAAATAACAGTTGGAAGGTAAAGCATTCCAACCTAACAGCAGCAGCTAACAATGTCCAGGAAAGAACACACCAGTCTGTCACATAGGAAAGAAAGTGGGCATTCACTGTTGCCTCAAAAGGAAAGACAGAATCAATAGACTGAAACTGCAGGGAAGTAGATTCAAGTTAGATAGGAACTTCCTGACCATATAAGCTGTCAGCATGTGGAACAAGTGCTACTTAAAGTGGCGAGTTCTACTTTGTTTAGAGCTCTTCAAACAGAAGCTGAATGGTCATCTGTCAAAGATGATCTAATACAGGGGTGTCAAACATGATTTCATTGAGAGCCGCATCAGAGTTGTGTTTGACCTCGGAGGGCCAGCGGGGGCATGGCCAGTGTAGCGTGGCCAAAGTGGGCATGGCCAGCTCGACATCACTCATGCTGGGGGCACCTGTGGTGGCCAAGTGCTAAGGCAGGACTTCCCTGAGACCCTCCCTCACTCATAATCTCCTTCTTCCTTCCTTCTTTTCTTCCTTCCCTCCCTCCCTCCTTGTTCCTTCTCCTTTCTTCTTCCTCCCCCTCTTTTCCTTATTTTTCCTTCCTTGTTCTCTTCCCATCTTCCCTTCTTTTTTTGTCCTTCCTCTTTCCCCTTCTCCTTTCCTGTCTCTTCTTGCATGCTCAAATGCAAAAGGGGAAACATTTCTCCTTTTTTTGTTTGTTTGTTTTGCTAGTCTTCTGCCAGTGGAAATGGAGAGGGCTGCAGGAGGCCATTGCAGCCGAATATGGGGCACAGGGGGTTGCGTGTGCCCCCCCCCCAGGCCTGGTTTCGCTGGCAGAGGCGCCATGGGCCGGGCCTTTGCTGTTTTCAGGTCAGCCCCGTCGGCCAGATCTAAGCACCCTGCGGGCCAGATTCAGCCCACAGGCCTTGAGTTTGACACCCCTGATCTAATACATCCTGCAATGAATGTGAAGTTGAAGAAAGATAAGGTTTAAAATTCCTTACAACTTTATGGTTCTACAAACAAAAATATAGATCAAGATTCAACCAAGACAAATGCAAATTTCTTCACTCAGGAAAAAGAAATGAAAGGTTTTCTTGGGGGAGACCTGGCTTGGCAACAATATTTTTGAATAACATTTGGGAATAACAGCCTTGAGAACAGAGGAATAAATACCCTTCATGTATCTGGACAATTTCATCAGAAGACACTCAAAACTTGGTCCATACTATTCCAGATTAATACATTTTAATTAAAGGAAGTCAAATACCGGCAGAATGTTAGGGAAAATATTATAACAATATTATAATAAGGGCAGTTCAATGATGAATTTAATTAACTGCAGAGATGACAAGCTCTTCTTCACTGACTGTGTTTTAACAAGGAACAGAGACAATTCTGGGAATTTTTTCATTTGGAATTCACCAAAAAGCATGAGGCTGAATTCGCTGGCCAAAGTTACCTATCCAGCTATACGTATATATGTAATTTTCTTTTAGAATGTTAAATTTAAGGATTCTTACTCAAAAATAACCAAATATATATTAATAAATCAACCAAACCTTAAATAACCAAATATCCAAACCCTTATTTTTTTTAAAAATTGTGCCAGGTTTTGGTTTTTTAAAAATTAACTTCTGGGCAATTCTGAAACTTCACTACCTCGGCATATGTAAAATGAGATACAGAAATTCATGTACTCAAATAAAAACGCAACTTAAGTGCTATTTGGTGTTTGTATACCAATAGCATTCAAGTTAGATATAAAGCAAGAACAGAAAAGTTTTTAAAATATCCAATTAAAATGGTATATAAAATTGCAAATACCTAATATATTAGCTATTTATAATATGATTTGATATGTACGTTTCAAGTATTGCACAACTTCAGCCACTGTGCTTTGTAAACCATAGTTTAGAACTCAAAGCACTAAATAACTCAACCAACTCTACCAATTATTATTCAACAGACCACAGTGAAAAAAAAACTTACTATCATAAAATAGTAATTGAAAGCTTGTTGTAAAATTAATTTATTCAAATTATCCTATTAATTTAGTTTCCCTAAGCAACCATATTCAGCTTTTGGGAGGGGGGGTAGAAACGTAAACTTTATGACTAAAATAAAACCATTAAATGTCTTTTTTTTCCTTTTTTTCCTTTATTGTCCATCTATCAGCTCATTAAAAATACCTTATATTTCAGCACACGATTTCTGTTTTGCACCAGACTATATTTGAAATATTGGGATGTCAATGCACATAATATGCTCTTTGGAGAAAAATCAATCAGAAAGGAATGAAAGAGATGGACAGAGGTTATTCTTAAGAATTGGTTTTATCTCTTTACCTTAAATCTCTTGTCTTGCAGAACTTTTTTAATGGCAACCAGCTCTCCTGAATCACAGAGTTTGGCTTGATAAACAACACCAAAAGATCCATTCCCGATCACTTTAGTGTCTGTATAACTAACTTCTTGAGGCCTATCTGGACCTTGTCCGGGAGTTGCTACTACTGTAGTCACTTTGCTGCCATCTTTGTCTCCTGGAACAAGAAAAAGATGAGATACTGTTAAATCTATGCTGGAGGGAAAAAAATTCCAAGGCATAATTTAATATATTGGTCATATGAATGACATAATATATTGGACATATCAATGATACCATAGTCATTGGCCTCATTCGAGATGGTGATGAATCTGCAATCAACAGGAGGTTGAACTGGCCCTGTGGTGCAGTCAAACAATCTGGAGCTGAACACTCTTAAATGTAGCTATGATAATGGACTTTAGGAGGAACCCTCCTATTCTACTACCTTTTACAATATTAGACAACACAGTATCAACAGTAGAGACCTTCACATTTCTGGGTTCTATAATCTCCCAGGACATAAAATGGACAGCTAACATTAGAACCATCATTAAAAAGGCACAACGAGGGATTTTCTTCCTGCATCAACTCAGTAAGCTCAGACTGCCCCAAGGAATTGCTGACATACAGTTCTATGTAGGAATTATTGAGTCTGTCATTTGTACTTCTATAACTGCCTGGTTTGGTACAGCAGCCGAAAAGGAAGGTACAAACTTCAACCAACAGTTAGGACTGCAGAAAAAGCAACTGCAACCAGACTGCCTTCCATTGAGGATCTATATAGCTCATGAGCCAGAAAGAGGGCTAAGGAAATATCTATAGACCCTACATATCCTGGATATCCTGTTTCAACTCCTCCCCTCAGGATGCTGCTATAGGGCATTGCATGCCAAAACAACTAGACACAAAGATAGTCTTTTCACCCAGGCCATCACTCTACTAAACACTTAGTTCCCACAGCGCTATCTTATACCTAATGTAGTAGGACTGTGTTACTATTATCCTTTTCATCTTTCCTATTATCTTTTCCTATTGGTATCTTACGATTATCATTTTGTTGTTTGTATATTCACTGACAGCTTATGCAAAGGAGACAAATTCTTTGTGTGTCCAATCACACTTGGCCAATAAAAGAATATTCTAAATAATAGTTATGAGAATCATCTTTTTAATGTCTAAACCAGTGGTATGATGACCTGGGGCATTGCACAAAGGCAATACAGTCAAATAGGCGTCCCTTTTTTAGCTCCAACTTTGCCCCCAATGTCCTGCTTACCTTCTTGTCTGGAGAAGAACTCTCCCAGGAACAGCCTGTGGCTGCAGAGATTCAAGTCCAAAACGTTGTTAACAAAAGTTTTAACTATAAGTCCAATCAAGGCAAGATGAGGTAATTAATCCGGCAGGGCAAGAGAAGGAATTCCAGGCAATAAATCAACCTGGTGGGAGGATTCCAGGAACGCAAATAACCAGTCAACACAAGATAAACTCAGGTTTGTTCCCAGCAGACACCACACTCAGCTTGCATCTCTTTTAAACTCTCTTCCCAGGTGTGCCTAATGAAGGGAATCAGGGCCCTTTCCTCCCCCGTAAGCTACACAACCCACTTTGCTCTCTTCTCCATTCCTCCCTACGTGCCCTAAGATGAAGAGGGGGTGGGCATGGGTCTTCCTCTGAATTCCCTCTCCCTTGTTCTACCCCTGCCCAGGCAGACTTTGCCTTTCCCCAGTTTCCTCCACAGCCACCGGAGCCACTCCCGCTTCCTGCCAGCTGTTTGTCTTCCTCCTCAGATTCAGACTCCAATGGGCCTGACAAGGAGTGTCAAACACAAGACCTGTGGGAAGGATACAGGGTACTTAAATCCGGCCCGCGGGGCAAGCCTGAAAATATCAAGGGAATGGCTCACAGTGCCTCTGGCAGGTAAAACGGGCCCTCAAAGAAATCCAGTTTGACACCCCTGGTCTAAACTATAAAAGGATAATTTTTAACCTTAGACACAAAAGGCATGCCCTCCAAAGTCCGCCAATTAAATTTTTCCTCAGACCAATAGATTTAGATGACCTGCATTAACTGATCACTGTTCTTGCCACTGTTCAAAAGTAGAAAATCTAACATTTTAACCTTATTAGCCACTGATTGCCAACTAACAGAAAACCAGATTGTTAGTTTCCCATAGTAATTCACAGTTGATGTCTAAATTTTACACTCCCAGTATAAAACTTAGTTTCTCATAAAAAGAGGGAAAGTATAATTCATAAGTAATGCAGATTGTGGCTCATTTATTCATTTACAAAGTTTATGTGGCCGCTTATTTTATGCATAGTTCTAGGCAGCTCATACCAATTGTCCAGAAAAACAAAAAAATATAATACTTTATTGTCATTGTATGCATATACACAGTATACACATACAACGAAATTCATATAACACACAGTGACCAGACCTAACACGCACACACACAATCCCCAAACACACTCCCAGCTGCCAAAATTCCCTGCCCCCTAAAAACACATAAGCATCCACACAACATACCAAGTAATACTGTCCAACAGCTCACTGATGGTGGTCCTTTTCATTGTTAAGTGCAATTATAGCTCTGGGATAAAAGCTGTTCAGAAAATGTGTGGTCTGAGTTTTAACTGTTCTGTATCTTCTGCCAGAAGGCAACAGTTCACAAAGATTATAAGCAGGATGGGAAGAGTCTCTGAGAATGTTGTGCAACTTCCTTAATCAGAGAGATGCGAAGATGTCATCCAGGGCTGGTAGATGGAGCCCGATGATATTCTGGGCAATTTTAATGATTCTCTGTAGAGCTTTTTTGTCCGCTACAGAGCTGCTCCCATACCATGCAAGAAGGCCGTTATGTCAGGACACTCTCGATGGTGCTGCGATAGTAGGACAGAAGTAGATGCCGAGATAGATTTATGTTCCTGAGCATCCTCAGGAAGTACAGCCTCTTCTGTGCCTTCTTCACAAGCATGTTAGCATTCATAGTCCATGAGAGGTCCTCCGAGATATAAATGCCCAGAAATTTAAAACTACCAACCCTCTCCACCTCCTTGCCATTTATGTACAATGGTAAATATACATCTCTCTTCCTCCTGAAGTCAATCATAAGTTCTTTAGGTTTTTTGGTGTTAAGTGTAAGATTATTTTCTTTACACCACAGTATCAGCCCTTGTACTTTCTATAAGCAGAGGATGATTAAGGCATGAGCGCCGGAGCAAGGCCTGGACATAGGAAAATCAGCACACAACAAAAATGTGTGCTTGTCACTGTACCTTCATCTGACTCTTACAACAAACTGTATTTCCCAGCAACAAACCATAATTAGAAATCATAATTTGGTCTCTAAATATAGGAAGCAACAATGATTGATAAGCAGAATGTCTTCAAAGGCTGATTTACTTGTGTCATTTTTTTTCTACCAAATTAGGCTTTCCTGCTGCTATCTGCTTGGCAACAGGGAAGAATTCCCCACCCTATTAATTCCTGATCAGAACAACTCTTATGGTAGAGTATCTAGTCTGTAGTTGTTTCAATAGCAGAAAGCTGTTGACCAATGAAGCTGCAGAAGGCACTTGCGGATTTGGCAATCTGAACTTACTTAACGACCATTAATTCAGCAACTATTCAAGGTTATGGTGATCGTATGAATGATAGTTGTGCACAGTCTCCCAAATTATACTTCACATGATGCAAATTCAGACGCTTGGCAAATAGCCCTGTGCTTGCAACTGGAGAGGAGCTTTAACTCTTCACACCCACCTATCTCCTTCTTCTCTGCCCTTTTTGCCACCCTGCACTCTGCTGCCTCGGCTGTCCTGCCCTCGGCTGCTCCCAACTGCCTTTGCTCTCATCACTGCTGAAGAAACACTCCCAGCTTGGCCCTTCATGGAGCAGCTGCCTTCCTTGCAAGAACTTGGGAGGAAGGCAAAGCCAATGGAGTGTGGGGCAACTAAAGGGGTAAAAATACGAGGGTGGAAGGGAATTAGTGGGAGGAGGAGCTAAAGAGGTGGTGAACATATGGAAAGCCAGGAGTTTTCTTTGGGAAGAAGGCCTTGCATGGCCAGTAGCTGCCTCACAAAGGACCATATCAGGCAAGCATCTTCAGCAGAAGGAGCAGGAAAATTGCAAAAGTCATCTGGGATGGCAGAGAGCAGAAGCCTTGGAATAGAGGGCAGTGAGGATGCCCCCCAGACTGCAGAATATCTTGCTGCTGGGCTGGGATGGCTGTAGCTTAATGCCATGCTGTTGGGGATGGCTAGGATAGCTTCAATTTTTCACCACACTGCTGTGAGAGTCTATGCTTGCCTCCACCCACTGCTGAAACCTACAGGCCAGTTCTCCAGGAGCACATCCAACGTTTTCTGTCCAGAACATGCCAGAAGCACTTCCGCAGAATCGGTCTGCAGGCTTTAGCATGTTGGAAGCTATTGGCCTTTTACGAGTCTTTGCAGGAGGAAGGCTGGGCTCAGAGCAAGCAGAAGGCCTGCAGATAGATTCTGTCAGGACTGGCTTGCCTCTATCCCTCACTCAAACCCACTGACCGACTCCCCAGAAGCACTTCCAACATGAGATACATTGCACGTGCTAGAAGTGCTCCTCAGAGAACTAGTCTGTGGGCTGAAAGTTGCTGGTCCTTAAAAAGACTTTATCAGAAAAGGGCAGCGAGCTGTCTACTGTGTGAGGCATGCAGTCTAAGCATGCATAGGGGAATGTATGGTGGGCTGAGATTGCTGAAATAGGGCAGGCACATCGGGAATCTGATGTGGTGGCAGTGGCTGAAGAGGTGGAAGAAGACAGCAAAGATAAAGGGCTGGCTGGCAGAAATAGTCAGGGGTGGCCAGTAGGCAAGGCAGCAGGAAAAAAAGGGGGGGGGGTTATAGACAGGTGGGAAAGTTGAAGCAGAGGCATGCGTGGCAAGGCAGGATAAGCATGTGTCCTGGACTAATGACTGCAATTGGCACTACTGGAACCACCATGATGTTTCGCCTAAAAACTGTTCACCTAGCAATGGGACTTCAATTCCTAACTAGGATGATCAAGCAAGGACTACCTATAGTTGCTTTATAGATAGGTAATGTACCTGTACCCCTGCCCATCTCAAAATATTTTTTTGGTTTTTTGAATATGAAGTGTTGCATCTAAAACCAAATAAATGATCCAAAGACCTGA